TTTGTATGGATGTGAAATTTTAGTCAGAGAGGAGATTCAGGATTTTCGATTTCAGTTTCTCACAGCAGTCATTGTGAAGAGTACTTTCTTCAGGAATGTAACGCTGTGTAGTCAGGTAAAGTGCACCAACATACTGAAGGCACACGGCTGCCTTCAACTTCAGTGCTGAAGAGTAAACCAGCCGAAAGAAGCAAGTTCTTGGAATTCCATCAGACTACATGGAATTACATCCTAGAAAACAGTACTCTATACATGTTTGATTTTCTTGGAAAGATTTGGAGGAACCACAAAATATGGTCTAGTGCTTCAACACAGAGGTACAATGTTAACTTCTTTCAAAACATGCTCTCTTATTCATAGAAACTGTAAGGGTCTCTGCCCAAATATTACACTGATACGCGGTAGTGCAGTTGGTTGAGACACTATGCTACAAGCCAGAAGGTGGCAGGTTCAAATCCTGATGAGGTCATTGAATTTTTTTCAATTGACCTAATCCTTCCAGCTGCACTATGGCCCTGGGATCAACTCAGCCTCTAACAGAAATGAGTGCCAGGAATATTCTTGGGGGTAAAGGGCGGCCGGTGCATAAGGCTGACAACCTTACCGCCATCTATGAGCCCAGTGTCCAGAAAATGTGGGAACCTCAACATCTCACAACTCTATGGGCCTCCATGGCCTGTTATAGGGATACATTTACTTACTTTTACACATCATCAAATTCAAGAATACATTTTGCACATTTTGCCAATATGAGACCACAATAAGAAATCACACTTAAAATATTACACATACACTTTACACACATGGTCTGTACATCAAAAAACCAAAATGTAATTTAATGGCTGAAATCAGAATCCTGATTTCCTGTCACCTGCAGTAATATTTGCCTCAGTTAAAGTCAGTTTCAGTAATATGAAGATTAATATATTTTTAATTTCAGAGCAACAGCAATGCTGTATGGCCCATTGTGCTGGTTTCTGGGTACTCTACTCCTCGCTGGAGGCGCAATGGCAAGCCTGTACCTTGTATGGCTTCAAGTCCGTCGCGGGGTAACTGGCTTCTCGCTGCTTGCAACATCAGATGCTCTCGCTACTGTAGCAATATCCATTACATTTCTTCTTAAAGCATCTGACAATCATGAAGACGCACGAAGAATTGCTATGGTTGGTATTCATAATTATATTTATCACAACACTGTCAACCTTCCAAATGAGATGGTTCCCCACATGTACATCTCATGTGGTGATAGGGCCTGCATATTTAACACCACCAATACCCAAACCTGACCACAGGATCCATGCCTGGGTTCTGTTTGGGTCACGTCTTCACAAACTATTTCTTAGGTCCATTTTAATGATATCCTTCTGTGTCTTCCTTGGCCTTATGGGTGGCCACTTTTCAAGATGTCTCCCTACCCACCCTGTATACACCTTTTGTTTCTCATATTTGTGCTTTATGTGCAGCTCCCTATAACCGAAATTTAAAATCCCACAGTTTAAATCAGAATAATCAACATTCATTAACTGCTGGGATTCACCTGAACGTCTTGAAAACATCATCTCACAGTTGTCACTCACAGAACATTGCAGAACCTGTAAGAGAGGTTGTGTCTGCCTGTCTACCTGTCTGCCTATCCTTATGTCCTCATATTCCTAACTCAGGAATCAGTGTACCTGTATCAGTCTGGATACCAATTTTAAATGAGGCTACAACTTTCCAACTGAAAACAAAAAATGTGAAATGATCCAACAAACATTCTGAGGCATCAGTTCATATTCATATCAAACAGAACCTGCCTACAGGGCAATACTGATGCTTGGAATTTAATTCCGTGTAAAGGTCCTTGTAAGTTTGTGAAATACTGAGCCAATCCTGAATTATATATTCTGTGTAAAGAACACTTATCATCATGTGACTGGCATAGACTTGTTTTATCTGATCTATTACAAGATTATGAAGCAAGTACAAATGACAATTCTCTCCACAGAATCAATTTAAAATTATGCATATATTTCTTCATAAGTGATCAAAGTTTTCTGTATTAAGCCACGCTTCCTAATTCTTGATCAGAAATACATCAGTCAAAGTCTATCTTTAAACATTTATCAAAAGTTTACTCTTCTTTTGCTATACATTCCCATTAAGTTATCTTATGCTCTTATAAGTGGACGATGCATATCCTTGTTAACGAACACATCATCAATTATTTTAAACATGTAAGAACTATTGCTGCTTCTCAGGGTAATTTCTCTGAACACTGAAGTGTGAATTTTCATATTTATTTTTCATCACACAGGCTCCATTCATGTTAGTATACTTAATTTTCATTACAAACCTTCTGTTCAAAATGACAACATGTGTATATAAGAACTGTGAATGGTTACATTTGCTTTCATGACTTATTTTATGATCCTGTCAGCATCCAGACTATATAGCGTCGAATTGTATGAACTGTACAGGATCTAGAACGAGGGAGTAAAGTAAAAAGTAAGTAAAGGTATCCCTGTAACAGGCCTTGGAGGCCCATAGGGTTGTGAGATGTTGAGTTTCCCATATTTTCTAGACAACTGGTTCATAGATGGCAGCGAGGTTGTCAGCCCTACAGTCCAGCCACCCTTTAACCCCAAGAATATTCCAAGAATATTCCTGGTACTCATTTCTGTTAAAGACTGAGTCAACCTCAGGTCCATAGTGCGGCTGGAAGGATTAGGTAAATTTAAAAAATCCAATGACCTCATCAGGATTCAATCCCGTGACCTTCCAGCTTGTAGCATAGTGCCTCAATCAAATACGCGACCACGTGCCCCCTAGGATGAGGGACTCCTAGTCTAAATAAGGTATACCCTGACATTTGCCCAGAGGGACTGTGGAATACCATAAGCAATGTCAGTCAGGAATCCTGGCCAAGACTTGGACCAAGCACCCCTTCAATACGAGTCAAGAGCTTTACTGCTATGCACTTCATTCAGTAAATGGTATTCCCCACTTCCTAATGTACAACTTTTGCATGTATCCTTTCCAGTAAATGAAAGGTGACCTGAAAAGTAATAATTATAATCAGTATGAGAATATAATATGGTATTTCCCTCTTTCCAGGCTACCGGCCAATGCAATGCAAGAGACCTTGTCCTGGTGTCAGCACTATTTCTGGCTCCGTTCATCAACACTTTTGTATCAATGGTGGCCCATTCAGCAGAGAGCTCACAAACTGTAGAGATGGCACCTAACGCACCTCACGGACGGAGAGTCGGAATGAGTCCCAGACTAGCTTCCAGCATTGCCGCACAGTGGCTGATTCCAACAGTTTCAGCCCTCTCACTGCTCTCAGCCAATGTTCAGCACTCTCACTCTCACCTAGACAGGTCTGACTCCGAAACATGTCTACCAAGCATGATCCTCATGTCCGTCGAGACGACAGGACAATGTGTACAGGATGATATCTCTAGCTACATAACATCAATTATGAACAACCCCAATTATTCTGTCGTGCATAATAAGGTAGCTATTAACAAGTACAAAAACGGGGCACTCGATAACACAGCTGAAATCAGCAATGAGACATCAGTCATTATAGACAAAATATATAACATTGTACTGGGATCACTGACATCATTAAATCAATCAGAAGTGAGAAAGAATTATAATTTTCCTCCCTTTTCCACTGCTTCAATGTCAAGATACCATAGGTCGGTCGATGAGAACACAACATTTCGACAGTTCAGGAATATGCAAGAGAAGTCTGCAGACAACAATCACTATGACAGACAGGATGACCCATCTTATTATGGCACATTAAACGAAGATGACGGAAACAGGGATGAAGTAACTTTTGACTACCCCAATTACGAAGCATCAGATGCTGGAGTTTCTAATGCACCAGCACAAACATTGCATCATGATCTCAGCATCAATGAAGAAGACACAAACAAGCCAGTCAGCACCTCCCCGCCGCCTACACATGAGCAGCAAGATCAACAATTCCAAGAGAAGGTAGACTTTGCTGATACTGTCGTGAGTTCCTCTCCTTCCCCAGCATCCCCGCAAACAGGAAGTACTTCACAAAGCACGTTAACAGAAAATGTGGAGGACATTAGAGCACCATCAGTTATGGAAGAAAGCATCATGTCTGTTACAGATGGTCTAGAATCCAGTAATTCTTCATTGCTCCCTACTAAGGGAACTGAAGCTACTTCACAAACATCAACAGCAAGTGACGAACTGTCCACTACAAGCAGTGAGCTCACATTTCAACAGGGGATCATGGAAGCAGCTGCTACATCGTCAACCACAGAGCCCTCTACTGAAACACAGATTATAATACAACCAGAAGGAAGCCTAGGACAGAGCCAGCCTGATACAGTAAATCTGTGTGTAGTAAAGTGTCATTTCTCCAGCTCTTTTCTTAAGAAGTATCTTTTCATTCTACTATTTCTGTGCTATTTCATTCCTGTTCTAGCCTCTGTGGTGATGTGTGCTGTCACAGACAAAAATCTGACCATGATCCAGTCACTTCAAGTTAAACCAAATGAGGTACCATCTACCACAGAAGAACAAAAAGAAGCTACTACTGAGACAACATGCAACAACATGCATCTGCAAAGGATGGTTTCAGCATCAAAAACAATCAAACACTTCATCACAGCCAGTACTCTACTGTGGACACCTACATTTGTAGAAACTCTGCTCCGTGTATGGTTCTGTATAAACACGCCAGAGTGGCTTACTACACTACTCTTTATATTTGGTCAAGCAAACACAATTATACGAAATGCTTTGAATGTGCGGCTGATCAGGAGTCATGCATGCAATGGGACAGTCCAACCACTTCAAGTTGACCAAGGCAAAACAAATAGTAACACTCCTACAAAACTCTTCACCAAGGTAAAAGCAGTCTTTTTACAGTGACATCCCTGTACTAACATATAGTGTGCACACTACAGGGCTTACTTTTGTTACTAACAACTGCTTCAATATACCCAAGACATTCAAAAGATACTTACTTTTTATTGGTTATTTTGTTATTCATGTTGAACTATTTCAAAAGCCTAAATAAATGCTAGTTTCACAAAACGAACTTCCTTCACAGAATGGTCAGATTATTATGGCTCTCAGTAATATTACGGATGAACGTTTATCATTTAAACACTCTCCTGTTGTTTTGAGTTTGTATAGAAGAAACGGCAAGAATAAAGCAATAAATTATGTCACACTTAACCTTGCTCTCGAGACTTCGAACTGTCCCTACTCCTTTCCATTTATAAAAACATCAATGTATTTCACCCATCTGGAAATCTCACATTAAACGAACAAAGAAGAACACGGTTCTTACTCAATCTGAAACAATATTTTAATGTGCACTTGCTTCTCAACAAAAAGCATTTTAAACACTAAAAGAAGCATTTCTTACGTTTCAGTCCTATCCCAACAGATATTCCGAAACTCCGGCTAGAAACAAAGTACATTGATACACAACGCACTCAGATCAACTAAAGAAAAAGAAATTACAACCTAATTCTTCCCGATCTTCATCTCGTAGCAAATAACTAACCCCTCTGCATGCACCAGAGACAACATGCCTAAGGCAGGAGCTTCACAACTTCAGATAAGTGACCTCTATGGCCCATCCTCGATCTTCTCGAGTACGTTTTTTGCGCGCCATATTTAATCGATTGCTTTAAAAAGAACAGCAATTTGAGCCCATAATTACGTTTCAGTAATTTTCCGGACACGCTGTTGTCCCATTAAATTTAATGTTCACGGTCACAAACCGTGGTGTGAAGCACGTGAAATGTCGTTAGGGCCTACTCCAAGAACCGGGGTCCTTGAGAAACCAAGAGTCCCTCAAAATCTCAACATATGTAACCTTCAGGTTCGTACACAACAGCCAGCCATTGGACACAGCCTTAAGCAAAATTAATCTCGTCCATATGCTCAGTCTAGTTCTCTCAGATATATTTTAACATCCTTCCAGTTACATCAGGAACAGAAACATCTCTTCCTTTTTGGTTTTCCAACTAAAATAATTTGTTACCTGTACACTTCCCATACCTCACAAGCATGCTGCATGCCTTATTCATAATTTCTTCCTGATTCAATTCATTCATAATTAATATTTGGCAAAGAACATATATGTAGTCCATCATCATACCGTTGTCTTCAGATTCATTTTATGTCTTCTAAGATAGAAATATTCCCCTAGTAACCTGTTCTCAAACACTAAATCTAGACACAAGTCTTTGGACAGGAGAAGACGAAGCTCAACACAAAATAGGCCACCAATGCCACGGTAATTTTTGACCTTTAATCATCCTATGTTACATGTCGCTATATAATTCCATAAAAATCTCATTACAAAAATCCTTGTGGCCCCGAACCACGTACCTTTTCTTTACAAGGCCTGTGCCTTTCTTCTAGACCACCAAAACATCTATCCTACAGCTTTCTGCGATCGTCCTTATAATATAAGACTTGGTTTATAGCTGCAGAAAAAATCTTATTTATTTATTCACTTTTCAATTTCTATTGATAAAAGACCGTGGTCTCGAACCCCATACCTTCCCAATACTTCGCCAATGTCTTACCCACGTACCACCAGATCTGTACAAATTTGTTACCTTCACCTTTCTCATATAGTACAACTTGCTTCCTACATGCACAAATTTCTTAATTTTTTTCTCACAAAAATAGCCATGTATTCGAACCACATATCACCTAAACCATACACCAGTGCCTTACCAAAGGACCGCCATGGTTATGACAACTATTCGCCTTCGTCTTCCACTGTGGCAGCTCGTGGCTCAAATAGATGGTGGGGCTAATATGAGACAGTGATACATTCTTGTGTTGTTATATTATAATAATAATAACAACAACAACAATAATTCAATTCAATTCAATTCAATTCTTTATTATTAATGTGCCGAGTCAACAGCCGCAGGGCCAATTACAGACACAGCACAGTGCAGAAGAATGAATTACATTCTAGACAAACTTATTAAAAGTCACATACAAATTACAAGAAATAATAATGAATAAAAGTAAAAGTAAACAAACAAATAGCTGATATGGAATGAAACATAAATATTTAATAAAAATACTAACAGTTATACTATATTTAAAATTTGTTTGGGTAGAACATTCCTGGCTCCGAATACGTCAACATCCCTGCAGACAGCATTAGCAGCTGCTGCGCATCTAGCAGAGGGACAATTTTTAAATAAGGAGCAAACATTGAACAATGCAAAATCTCTGATATACCGAGCAGGAACTCGGAGACCAACAATTTCCAGGACAGAAGGGCAGAATTTAGAGCCAAAATAAACTTGAATAAGAAAGAGAGCATCAAGGCGATGTCTCCTAGTACATAAAGTATGTAATTTTAACTCCTCAAGAGCAAGAGAATAATTGTAGTGAACTTTAGGAAAGAAACGTTTAAAACAAAGGGCCGCAAACCTCTGCTGGATGCGTTCCAGCTTGTTGGCATCAGTTGACGTAATCGAATTCCAGACTACGGACGCATATTCAAGCTTAGACCTAACTAACGTAGTGTACAAACTGAACATACAGTCTAGCGAAGAGAAATTGTAGGTAATGTTACGAACTAGAC